CCGGCTCCCGCCACGGGCAGCCCGGAGGTCTCCGGCTGCAAAGGGCCGATGGCTTTTGTTTTCCTTATCTGTGAGAATGAGCAAGCCCTCTCGGAGGAAGGGAGGTGGCGTTCGATTATAAAGCCGCTTGTTCCGAAGCTGTCGCTGCCGCGGCGCCCGCACGGGCACGCAGCTTTCTGGGTACATCAGAGCTGAAAAATCCCTCCCCTGAACGTCTTGGGTTGCGTGGAGCGACGCTCCTGGAATCCTGTTCTGCCGCCACCGAGCCCTGCGGTAATCTGTCTGCTGCCTACCTAATCCTGTAGGTGATGAATAAACAATCCTAAATGGCAACCGTCAGATGTCTGATATTTGTAAATTTAAGATTTAAGAGCGCACAGGGGTAGCAACAGCTCGGACACGCGGCTCGTGACGCTGCCTGCGTGTATTTACGTACTTGCACTGACTCCAGGTAACGTGTACCTAGTCTTAGGTGCTTTGGATTGCCCGATCCCAAGTGTCAGGCTGCATGAAACATTAGGGAGAAACTGTTACTTGCCTTTGAGAGTCTGTCTGGCATGACAGACAACCACCATATCATGAAAGGTATGGAGCACTGATGCAGCTTTATCAAGCATTGCATCCAGAGAGCTGGAAACACTAAGTGACAAGGTAACCTTAGCCGTGTCAGATTTGTGTACTTTCGAGTAGCAACAAACCTGGCTAAAGCCCAGTCTGTGCTGAAATTGCATGAATTTAAAACGTGATGCTGTCTACCCTGGTTTCAAAAAAGCATAATGCAAAAAAAAATCCTTCCGATGGCCGAGGGGGTGTTTGTGCACGGGTGGCAGTAAGGAGGCCGAGCGCTGCCCACTGGGAAGTTTTTAACAAGCTCTTCGAAACCGTTTTGCGGTTGATCTCTGGCTGCCTGTTGTCACCTGTGGATCCTTCTTACAGTCCAAGCAAGGCTACAGCCAACATCTGACTCCCTGTTCAAGTTAAACACTGATGCTGATTCAGGTGCAGTTGTTGCTAACACCAGTTCCCAGTTTTGTTTACAGATAAACGTGTCGGTACGGTGCTGTGTAGGAAAGGATGCTGGTTTGAATGGCTCTCAAAGCAAGTACCTGCAGTAAGTGGTGGTGGCTTCTCTAGTAGCTGCACTAGTTTGGCTTTTTAACTAAGCCGGACCAGTATATACTTACTCTTTTGCCCGGCTTTCTTTGTGCTCACAATGAAGAAAGGTGGCACAACGGTCACGGACCCCCCACTGAAAGCTCGTGCTGCACGGCTAAAACACAGGCTGCTAGCTGCTTTCTGACAGTCCTGAGGGAGGACTGGGTGAGGAAAACTGGTGACAGGCTTAATGAGATTAACTTAAGCATGTTGCCAGAGACCCGTAAGAGTCTTCAAATGCTGCAAGGCTGGAAAGGAGTAATAAGCTCTGTCAAAACAGACTTCTCTAAAATTGTGCGTGTGCTTCAGAACTGAGTTTCACTGGTGTACTGCTTTATTTTAAGCAGTATCCATGTGAATTGAAGTGTGTTTTGAAGGACCTGTTTGTACGGAATGGACTTGCTCCAGGAATCATGATCATTGCCTAGGAGGGAGCTATGGAAAAACAATACTTATTTTCTTCTACTGAAAAAATAAAAGTTGCACTCTCTAGCTTGGGTTTTCATCCCTGTGCAAAAGTGCTGAGGAAAATGAGCTGGTAATAAATATTTTGTTATTTTTGACATTTAGTTGTGTTAACAAGGGAGCTTGTAAGCAGAAATTGCTGAAGGGCCTGCAGAGGCTCTCCCCCATTTGCTGAGTCAGGCTCTGCATGCCAGGCAGCTCAGCTGTGATTAGGGCCAGACGATGCGTGGTCATAGCTTACCCTGGTAAACAACTGGTATCACCTGAAATAGTCCAGGGCTTAAGGTAAGCCAAAGGTTCAAATGTCTTCTACAAGGAAGGAAGCCTGGTAGTACAAGGAAATTACAAGAATGGATACTAAGAAATGGTCCACGACTGTTTGAAAAAGGTTTAGAATGCAGTAAAGCTCTAGCAACTTTTCTAACAGATGAGTTTTTCTCCTGTTCTGGTTGTTGACAAACAAAACCCCAAAAGTCTAACTGCTAGAAGGGAAGAAAGATCCCCTTGTCTTTCCTTTCCCCCTGTGATTCCTGGAACTCAGCTATGCTGGTGAATATGATATGGACAGATGTGAGAAGTTGAAAATCAGTACCACTTCTCTTCATCTGTCACTTCTATAAGTTTATTTCTTTTGGGCAATGTCTACAGTCGTAAATTTTGCTGTATTACTGTAGCTCTGTTAACCTCGTCTGGTACTTCTGGCACAAGCCAGCTTTCAGGCAGTGGTCTTTAAACATCATTGTGCACGAGTCTGCTCTATCACAAATGCTCCTATCCTACAGCCGTAAGTGTTTACATTCTCACATATCTGAGCAAAATCCTTTTAATTGTTCAGGCCTGCTGATTGTTTTAAACAGGCTACTTTTATTTCCCTAGCAATTGATGAGTACAAGCCCCTAGATGCCACCACAAACCCATCTCTCATACTAGCTGCGGCTCAGATGCCAGCTTACCAGGAACTTGTGGATGATGCTGTTGCCTATGGGAAAAAACTTGGCGGGTAAGTAAAGAGGTTTTTTTATCTCAGTAGATCTATATTTAAGATGCCTTATTTATACAAATAGTGTTTAGTACTATTAGCAACGTACTGGGGTTTTCCCCTTGTGCACTCATAGGTGTATCTCCTGCCCCAAAAAGCCTCAACTCTTAAAGAAAAATTTCTGATGCTTGTTTCAGATGTGCTTTGAAGAAGTGCATCTCCATTTACCAAGTTGTCACGTGGCCTTCTAGGACTGCTCAGGAAAACACTCTTGAGTTGACAGCGTTATAGGAAATAGTATCCAAAGGCTAATACTGCTGGTGGAACACGAGGGCAGAACATAAACATGGAGCGGAGCAGAAGTGGCTATTTGAACTCTGGAATTTAATGTTAAATGGGCTGTGAAATTTGATCTTTCAAATCCATGGCAAGGTGTGAATTTTTTTTCCCCATAGAAATCATTTTGCTCTTTGCGGTTTTCAGGTCAGAAGAGGAGCAGATCAAAAATGCCTGTGACAAACTTTTTGTATTATTTGGAGCTGAAATATTGAAGAGGATACCTGGCCGTGTGTCCACAGAAGTAGATGCAAGGTTGGCTCTTTTTCCTCTGGGTTACCCTGGATATTTGTACATACAAAAAGAGACATGATGTGAGTTGGAGAAAGATATTCTTGACTAGACAGCTCACTGTTATAAGGCTAGCAAGAGTTTATACTGTTAATATTTGTTTAATTAGAGAATGGATTTTACTTAGTTTGCCTGATTATAACTTGGTGACAAAATTTTACAAAAACAATTAATACTGAGCTTGGATTTTTGTAATCTTCTTATTGTTCCTTATGCAAGGGAAACCTCATGCTTCCAGTATGCTTAGAGCTCTGCTCATTCTCTTCTATGTGATAATGTCTCCTCAATTTACCAAAAGATCTGTTTTAACAGTTTATTTCAAGACTTGCATAGGATTTGTCTGTTAACCCACTCATTGCCAATTCACTTCTAACGCTCAGCTTCTGCATTCATTATGAAAAACTTGAGGAAAGCTCAAGGAAAGCTATCTTGAGCTCTGGATCCTCTGAATCAAAGAGAAGCAGTGCTGTCGTACACCAACTTGATGGGCTCACAATCCAGGAAGTATCTCTGAGAACGAAAACCTGCTATTGGCATATAAATGCTGATAAAACAATGTTTTTCAATGGGGTTGGGGGGGAGGAGGGAGAGCATTTTTAAAAAAAAAAAAAAGTCAGTTTTAAGCAGTCCTGCTCTTGTTTCAAAGGTTGTCCTTTGACAAGGAAGGAATGATTCAAAGGGCCAGGCGTCTCATTGACCTTTATAAGGAAGCAGGAATTGGTAAAGATCGTATTCTCATAAAGCTCTCTTCAACATGGGAAGGAATCCAGGCTGGCAAGTAAGTATTTCCGTACCTGGTATGCTGATTCATAGCGTGCGTCTGCCTGTTCACAGGCACCTGACAAACACATTCTGCAGTTAAAATAAAGAATTGTTCTGAAAGCACTGCACCAGGAAATCTGTTACTAGGGCTACAGCTTTCTGTTGAAATAAGAAAAGTTTGTTCCTACAAGGGCCAGGCCACTTGTAAACGGAGTTTCCTGAAATATCAGGCTAAGTTGTCTGCATTTGGTTCAAGGAACAGCATTAAATAAAGCAGAGTCTGGCAGCGCAAAACATTTTCTGTTAGCTTAAAACTTCAAAGCTTATAAACTGTACCACGTTCCTAATTTAACTCAAGAATTTCAGTAGTTTAACCTACTAGCTTGTTACTAAAATGTAAATTCAGTAGGTGAGCAAACTGCTGTTTTAAGCCAGCCTGTGTCTGCAGGGTTCTGGAAGCAGAGTATGGGATTCACTGCAACATGACCTTGCTGTTCTCCTTTGCTCAGGCAGTTGCCTGTGCTGAAGCTGGAGTTACTCTGATTTCCCCATTCGTAGGACGTATCCTGGATTGGTATATTGCAAATGGAGATAAGAAAACCTATGAGCCTTCAGAGGATCCAGGTAAGCTTTCCTTTTAACGTATTGTTAAAAATACAATAGCTACTCATTCAAACTGCAGTTTACTTGTATAAGTCCTCCTAATGAAAAAATACTGGTTTTGAGCATGTTCTAAATAATCATTTGTACTTCAAATGAATTATTCTGAAAATTGCTGATTTCTCCTTTGTAGGAGTGAAGAGTGTCACTAAGATCTATAACTACTACAAAAAGTTTGGCTACAAAACTATCGTGATGGGTGCTTCCTTTCGAAATACAGGAGAAATAAAAGCGCTTACAGGCTGTGACTATCTCACTATTTCACCCAAGCTTTTGGCAGAGCTCAGCAAAGAGTATGTCAAGTTAACTCCCACACTCAGTGTAAAAGAGGGTAAGTCCACTTCTGTGTAACACGGGCTTGCTCAGTCTCCCTTTCTTCTCAAACGTTAAGAGTATGTGGTTCCACTCAGCTCTGTGGTGCTTGCTTCCATTCTGCTTTAAGGATAAATATTGATCCCTCTCTAATGGAAATACCGTAGCCTCATTATAACAGTGCTGCTACAGTTGCTGACACACAGTCGCTTCTTTAGGGTCTTGAGTCCCACTGAAATTATGACGGGTTTTGAGTGTGCTTAAATACTGTGTACCCTCTCCTGAGAGGACAGGGAGAGCAGAAGGAACTTTATACTTCACATGCTTGGGATGAAATTTTACTGAATATTAGCAAAGATGCCAAACGTGGTTTAATCTTATGTTAATATTGCATCAGTGATGCAGTTAGCTCTAGACATGCCAAAAGGTGTGTTTTCCCTGCAGAAACTCTAGAAATTAATCATGTGCAAGACTAAGTGATCTGATCTAGTGATACTGTGCCACGATGCTTTTGAAAGTATGTTCCCATTGCACTACTCCTGCTTTTCTGTAGCCATATTAAAATGCTACTTTACAACTCAGAAGATGAGATTTGTGCACAGCTGTAGTCATGGGTTGCTGCTTACAGGGTGCTAGCTGGCTCAATTGAGCTTTTGTTAGGTACTTGCCAAATAATCAAAGACCTAATTGTTCAGCATATTTGCTTAGAATGTCTCACTGCAGTAGGACTGTTGCATAATTCTTGATAATAGGCCTGAAAGTGCCATACCATTCAGAAGCAGATACAAGATAATGGCATACACATAAATATTGTATTTTAAGAGAAACTGATTATCTAGATGACTTTTTTCTTTTTCCCCCTAAAACCAGATCAGGAGCATTTTCAATCTTGCAGCCCAAAGTGTGCTCATATAGCAAGTCACACTGAAAGTGGCATTTGAAATTTTTCAACAGCTGGAGGTGGTTAGAATCTTGAGACTGTTTTAGGAAGCCTGTGGTATCTGATAATAATCTGATAATATGGTTTGTTTCTTTTTCAATTCCCCTTGCACAGCTCAGGCATGTGAGCTTGAGAAGATCCATCTGGATGAGAAGGCATTCCGCTGGCACCATAATGAAGACCAAATGGCTGTGGAGAAATTATCCGACGGGATCAGAAAATTTGCTGCAGATGCAATTAAACTGGAGAGGATGTTAAAGGTAGATGTTATATCATGCTGCCACCTGCCTCCTCCCAAGTACTGCAGCTAACCCACAGTTCCTTGGTATGGCTAAGGATTAGGAACCTGTAAGCAAGTCCGATCAGGTTTTTATACAGGCGGTACACGTTATGTAGGACAGGCAGCTAGCAAACTGGCCACCTAAATTAAGTGAACTTGTTAAACTTCACTGCATCTCAAGAAGGAATTCAAGCCAGATGTATACAGCCACACCTGCTGTTTGAGGCCCATGGCAGCGTTCAAACTGGCAGCTAATCAAGATCACAGTACTGTCAAAGTGAAAAGTTCCTTAAGTCTAATTCTAAACTCATTATCTGTCAGCAGTGGTACAAGAGAAATAATCTTCAGACAGTGGGCTGGAAATAAATGATGCTTGTACTTAGCACTAGGAGGCACCAACAACAGATACGCTGAGTATAGCCAAGCCATGTGAAAGTTTTCTGTCAGTTTATGGAGAGTCTTTTACATGGGATTAATTGAACTGTGTGTTTTGGGGGGGTGGGGAATACACACCAAGTATACCTGATCTAGGCATTTGTTCTTGTTGACTGGCAACTACTTAGCAATGCAGGCTTAAGTCACTACTAAAGCTCAGTCCAGTTCCCAAACTCTTACTCACCTGCTGTATGTTTCCTTCTCTCTAGGACCGAATGTTCAGTGCTGAAAATGGAAAGTAGAAAAATCGGAATTCTCCTGAATGGTCAAGGCTGAATGAGTGGATCACCTGAGGTTAAATGGATGTACAAAGTCTTACGTGTAAAAGTCTTATGCTATGTATGGATAGATTTCTGTATCATGCTTTTTTATCAATTTGCAAAGGGACGAATAGAATTTCAAATTTTTGTGGCACTTTTGTCAATACATGCAAATTAACACAGACTTTCTTTGTAACGTGTTCATTTCACTGCTGTAGGGGACATCTGACATAGTATTTTAATTTTTTAAATTTTTATATTAAATTCCTAATTAAGTCTACATTCCTAACACATTAAGAAAGCAGTTTTGTCTTTCATGCTGTCTTACTGTGACTGAAGAGAAGGTTTCAAAAGCCCTCCTTGGTACAAAACCCTCAAGTACTGAGATACATACATAAACCAACTAGGCTCCAGTCCCTTCCTGTCCTCTTTCTGCAGCCCTATGACATTGAAGGCTACACTTTCAAAATTAAGTAACTCAGTTTCTTAAGCAGTTAATAAATAACTTGACAATTGGTTAATCTGAGCTGACAGAGTGAATGTGGATACAGCTGAAGATTGTCTGTTAGAGCCTTGTATATTGTCTTTGGAGGAGTCACTGCTTTTCTTTATGCAATAGTCATGGAATTGCTGCCAACCCTGCCCCACAACTGGGGGGGAGGGGGTGTGTGTGTGTTGGTTTTTTGGGGGGTTTTTTGGTGTTTTTTTTTTTTCCTTTAAGTTCTATGACCCCCTCCTTTCCTCATTGTTCTTAAGCTGCTGCTTTTGTGAAAGAGGAAGAGCTGTGTGGCAGCCTTCCTCAGGAATGACCTAATCCTAATGCAGCATTTACCAATTACAGGACTTTCTATTAAGTTGGGATGCATATGATTCACTTCATGCTGTATTTCATTAAGACTAATTAAATACATCTCTTATTAGTTTATATAGGTCCAGTTCCACCAAGAGTAGACAAGAACAAGTGATAAGACAAGAGAAAATGGCCTCAGGTTGTGCCAGGGGAGGTTTAGATTTGATATTAGGAAAAATTTCTTCACTGAAAGGGTTGTCAAGCACTGGAAGAGGCTGCCCAGGGTAGTGGTTGAGTCACCATTTAAAAGACTGTAGATGTGGCCCTTGGGGACATGGTTTAAGTAGCGGACTTGGCAGTGTTAGGTTAGTGGTTGGACTCAATGATCTTAAAGGTCCTTTCCAACCTAAATGATTCTACAATTCTAAGAGGTTCCTGTTCTATATGTAGACACAATTAACTGTTTCCTGATAAAGCTGCCTGAACTTAACCTCTTCAAA